ATTCTCTCTCTCTCTCTCTCTCTCTCTCTCTCTCTCTCTCTCTCTCTCTCTCAAAAAAAAAAAGCACACATTTAAAAAAATATTATTCCCAGTTAATTGATGAGGAAATTGAGGCACAAAGAGGTTAAATAACCTTCCTGAACTCATATAGCTAGCAAGACAGCATTAGAAACTCACTTAAAGATAGTACTTTTAACTGTTATTTCATCCTTCCCCTCTATGAAAGATTATGAGTCAGGTCTGGACATAATGGCTATCTGAATAAATTCTATAAAAAGCTTAGGCTTTCCAATGRTATTACTTGAGTTCAAATGTCAGTTTTTCCCCTTACTAATGTTAAAAGAAAAATTGTTAAATAAATTAAATTTAGAAAAAATTTATTTGAGAATAATATGATTTAYTATTTAAGCAGCTCTCAGAATCAGGAGAGATTCAGAGTTCTCCACCCACTGCCCAGCAAGTGGGCAGGCAGTATTTAGAAACAAAAAAATGAACTGACATTCCAAAATAACGTGATTGGTTATAGTCCAACATTTGCTTCATATGGACATGGTCTGATCAATTGGCAGCTTGTGATTTGCTGAAGTTTGCAACTGAAATTGGCTGAGATTTCATTATTTGTTATAAGAACATACTCTTTAATTAGTTTTTGGTTGGTTTACATACTGAATTAGATTTTAAGTTTTCAATATACTGAGGCAACTTTAAGCCAAATATAATTTAATTTAGCATTAGCTATGTAATCTTTGGAGCACCACTTACTTTGGAGCACCACTTAGACCCTATGAGACTCAATGCCATTCTATGAAAATGGGGATCTAATGCTTCATTTACAAAGCAAATTGAGGTTTATCGGAGATAATATAAGTGCCCAAGTTCAGAATCTGGTGCAAAAAAACACTCGGTAGATAGTAGCTAGGACTGTAATTATACACAATATACAAGGAAATATAAAACACATTATATTTACTAAAAAAGCCAACTTAACTTCTTAGATGTAGTTTATAGGAAAATAACAAATTGTCATACAAGATAGTTTTAAAACACTTTTGCTCTGATATTTAAATCACAAATTACAACAAGTGGTAGGCAAAATGCCTTCCATAGAGTATACTGTACCTCTTTGATGATTTTCACCCCTTTTGGATCCTTGATATTAACAGCTATGCTCTAAAAATAAATATATATATATATTTAAAATATTATCATAAAGGCTTTATTTTATTATTGACAGTCCAACAAGAGAGTCATTCACATCGTAGATTCTCCTCTTAAAGCAAAATTATATCCCTCATGAAGAATTATTTAAATCATTTTTACTGATTATATTCGCTATCAGAATGATATCAAGGATTATAATAAATGGTTTTCAATAGTAATATGAGTATTAGAGAGTTAGCATTCTCTAAAACAATGTAAAGAATCAAATGATTTCTCTCTTTCATAAAATGATTTCCACTATAAATTCTCATGAAATGTTTTAAGTTAATAGAGAAAGAAGATTAATTTTAAAATCCCTGCTTCTATTTGTAACTGATGAATAAAGAAAATTTCATATTGTTTGAAATATTAATTATATCTACAAAAAAAAGCCATGATGCTATCCAAAGGTTTGTGATAATATAAAAATAATGCAAAAAGAAAAAGAAATTATGATATCCTTACTTTTTTATTTCGATTAACACTGAGAAAATATGTACTTTCTGTACCCACAAAAGGTGGCCCCCAAGTTCGTGTATCATCACCAGCTCCTAAAAATAACAACACGAGCTATTAATTCTTAGCTTCAAAACATCATGAGAGATTTTTATAAGTTCTGAATAAATATTAGTGTGATATATTAACCATTATAATTACCTGTATAGGCAATAACAATTAACTTTTATTACTAGCCCTCTAAAAAGTGAAGAATTTATGAACTTGGATAAAGTTTTAAATTCTAGTCATTTAAATGATATAATCTATTAACCATTAAACTTTATTTACTCTCTTGAGATGGATCAAGGCATAATCTTTTTGAAGGGAAAAAGAGAATAAAAAATAAATCTATTTATTTTTTAAAAACCCACAAGAGAAATAGAGTGCACAAGTAAGAATAGAAAAGAAGTATTAGTTCTAACAGGACATAAACCAATAATTACACAAAGCAATAAATACTAAATACCAATGGAAGGACATACTCAAAACATTGACAGGGAGGAGGGAGTTGGGGAGAATGAACTACAAGGGTCCACAAAGAGAACTACCCAATAATAAGCCCATCAGTGACTTTTGTAAGAAAGGTATGTAAAGCCCAGATATTTGGTATATGATAGGACCTCTCAGAATCACCAGCAACTCCCTTTTTTTTTAACTCACAATATTTTAAAATAGAAGGAAGAGGAGAAGCAATAATGCYAAGATAAAGTTGAGATTCATTTAGTTTAAATATGTGCATGCATCTATCAGGTAGAAGTAAGTCAGAAGTTACACTGGAGGCCTAAGAAAGCTTGCCTCTTCTCTTGTCCTTAGAATATAGCCATGATTTTAGAAAGGCAGAAAGATCAGTGTTATTTGACCCGAAACATAAGATAAAAGATCACAAACTATTAAACCAGAAAGCTTGAAAATATGTTTTATTCGACCCACAGAGTTTCTAAGTATTTTAACAATCTGCTAAGATTTCAAAATCTGGAAATCTCATGTAAAAACTTAACCTTTCTTAAATGGTTTTTCAATCCATTCATTGATTCAACACTTATTGAGCACCAGCTAAGTGAAGATACTGCTCTATCCAGGGCAAAAATGGCAGTGAACAAAAGACCAAAATTCCTGATCTCATATCCYTGCTTATAGGTACAATCTGGAGTTTTAGTGGCCTTATTTGCTGCCCCTCCAGCCCGTTTCACTCATTTACATATCCTGCCAGGTCCTTCAGGCATTATAAATTACACATATGGACTTGCTAACTCTAAAAGAAAAGATAAAAACTATACTTAAGTTTGATATGCTCTTATGATTACATAAGTAAGAATAAGTCCTAAGTCAGAAACTGCAATCAAATTTTATTTAATTGAAGAAATGGAAAAGTAGACATAAAAAGAGAGTCTACTGGAATTTAGAAATACTATCAAGTTGCATTCAATGAAACTGCTACTAGTCATTTTTCCTCATATCCACATTGAGTAAGTATCTCAAAAACCCAGAACAATTGAATATATATTATGAACATTAAAATGTATTGGGCAAGAGGGTTTATCAGCCAAAAAAGGAGCAGTAAACACCTGCTAGGTGTTTGAGAGATAATAAAGGCCTTGACAAAGAAAGTTCTCCTCATAACGGAACCTAAAGTACAAAGGAGAAACAGGGATAAGTAAATAAGGAATAATAATTTATGAAAGTAATGTAAGTACAATTACCAACTGAAATAGAAAGAAAAATTAGATGGGATGCTCCATACAAGAAAGGAAGACACAAGAAAACCAATAGTTGAAATCAGGAGGTGAGGTGCTCTGATGTTGAAACCAAATCAAAATGTATAAATTAGAAGCTTTAAACAACTGGAGTGGGGAGTGTTCAGCTAAAAAAATAAATATTCTTCAGTATGTATCCAGTAATGACAGAAAGTGATAAACTTTGTTGACTGGATATATGAAGCAAATGTCTCAGGAAAGCAGGACCCTCCAGGCACTTCTATTATCTAAGACTGATAAACACGGGCTCAGATGAATATAACAAGATAAAATACAATAATATATAATACTCCTATGCTGATCAGAGAATCTTCTGCTAACTGCTTTGGCCTCATAGGAAGATCTGATTAGCAGGAAATGGAATCTTCCAGGTCAAATATTCTACTTTAAAATATGGTTTATCACAGATGGTAAATTAATGTTGATATAATTATAAATTCATCCCTATGAGCCTTACGGATAGATGCACACTAATCAGCACTAGACCATTCTCATTAATTTGAGAATTCTGTTCCAAATCCATAAGTACTAAATCTTAGAACATAAATAGTAATACTAATTTTTGATAACTCCAAGATAAGCTGTCTACAGAATAATGACATGAAGAAAGTATCTGTGCCACTTAAGTGCTTGTGGAAAAAAAATGGCACACAACAAAAATACTTTTCAAAGCAACTTTATCAATAATTGCATGAACTAATCACCATAATGTTTAAAGCACCAAATAAAAGTGAAAATTGCATATACAGAAGACATGTATTTGATGGGAAAAGAAGGAAAAAAAAAACTAGAAAGATGTGAGATAAAAAAATTAATATAAGCTGATATGTTATCCTCTCAAGCCCTTGATTTATTTATTTTTTTTTATTTTTCTGTAGTTGTAGATGGACAGAATGCCTTTAATTATTTGTTTATTTTTATGTGGTGCTGAGGGTTGAACCCAGTACTGCAAACATTCTAGGCAAGCATCTACCACTGAACTACAGCCCCAGCCCCGCCTCAAAACCTCTAAACTCTAAAGTGGTAAAGTTTTTTTATTTTTTTAAAAATAGAATAGAATGACAGGTTAGGGTATTTGGGTTGCTTTTGATGGGCTTTGATTCCTTTTCCTTCTCTCCTCCTTCTGTATCTTATTTCTTCCCTTTTATCATGCCCTTGTCTTTGCCATCCCTTCATCCCATGCTCAGGGAATGTGGTCACACTCACTCTAATCTCAATCTCAATGGTGCAGCTTGTATGGAGCCTAGAAAAAAACAGAATCTGAGCTGAGAACCTAGATACTCTTTACTAACTATGTAAGCTTGAACATATTGCTTTACCTCTGTGTCTTATGCTTCTATTTTCTCATTTATAAACAAGGAATAATATCAGCCTATATGGTTATTGTAAAGATTAAATTAAAGTCAACAGGGTTTATTCTTTTTTTAATAGATAGACAAAATATCTTTATTTTAATGTGGTGCTGAGGATCAAACCTGGTACCTCACAAGTGCTAGGCAAGCACTCTACCACTGAGCTATAACCCCAGCCCGGCAATGGGTTTAGAACTTAGCCTGGCTCTATAATTGTTTTTATCATCATTGTTATTATATGTTTTAACAGAATGTTTCAGGTATGTGAGAAGGAACTAACTTCAGTCTTAGTCCTTAGCATCTTTATAGAGTAAAAAAGGGATCACAAGCACAGGTTCAGAGGAACACAGAAGTGGAAAAAAAGAAAATAATCATTTAAATTATCTCYTCATCCCATTTATAGGATATCCAAACATGGAAACTTAAGGAATTACTAAAAATATTTATTAGCCTGATTCTATTTTTTTAAAACAAGCAATAGCTTTACCTGGTCTTTCCACTTTTATAACTTCTGCTCCAAGATCTCCTAAATTCATAGTAGCAAAAGGTCCTGCCAGCACTCTACAATGTTAACAAGAATAAAAAAAAGACCAACTTGAAATTTTTTATCAATTATTTTCTTAATAGTCCATCAACACAGATAAGCTTATATAATACTAGCAAGAGTCAAAATTGTAGAAACTGTTATTTGGCCATATGTATCAAGAGCTTTAAAAAAGTATATCCCCTTTGATCTAGTAATTCTATTTCTAGAATTCTATCCTGAAGAAGAAATTGAAACTGAGGCAAATATTTGTATCCAAGGAAGCCTAATTTATAAATGTGAAATACTGGGGGATTATTAAGTAATTAAAAACTAAAACTAAAATCTATATAATACAATACCATCTTACATTTTTTGTTTAATTTTTTTAATATTTATTTTTTACTTGTAGTTGGACACAATATCTTTATTTTATTTATTTTTATGTGGTGCTGAGGATGGAACRCAAGGCCTCACACATGCTAGGCGAGCACTCTACTGCTGAGCCACAATCCTAGCCCTGTTTAATTTTTAAGAACAGAAAAATATTCAAAAGGAAACTGTATATTTAGATATTCCCATACACTAATCTCATGAAGTCCTTAAGGCCCAAGTCAGGTATTTTCTTAATGTATTTCATAAGCACTTAAATATCTCATATTTCAACTGAGAGATGTATAAGAATATTTATGTTAATTATGCTTTTTTGTTTGTTTGTTTAGGGAACAAAAAAGTTTAAAAAGCATTTCCAAAAATTCAAATAAAACTAAAAAAACATAGTGTTGTATGCTTTAAATGCCAATAAAACTGTAATTCCAATATAATTCCAATTATTTTTAAAATTATATATAAATGTATAGATTGACAAAAATGCACAAATATTACACTAATTGTCTCTTAGAATAGTGCGACTCCAGGAATTTTTCTTTTCTTTTCTCCTCCAAAATTTGAACATAAGCAATAAGTATCCCCTATGGTCRAAAAAAATAATTAAAAATTGGTGAGAGAAGGGAAAAACTAATCACTAAAATGAAAATAAACAATACAAACCTTGTTAGATCTAGAATTTTTACACCYGCCAATGGCTTCACGTTGTCAATATCTGGAACAAAACAAAAACATTATAAGAATATTAATTAATACTTTTCAGAAATAACAAAGCAGATTTCTCCACATTGAGCTTAGTGTAGTCTCTATTGTTATCAAAAACAATAATTTTTCTTCACAATGATTCTGCTTAACACAAAAACCTCACCCTGATCCCAGTGAATGTCCACAAAAGCTTCTAATAATAAAATATTCCCAATTAATAGCATCCATAGCCACACTGAAATATTTTTTTCTAATGAAAAATAAAAACTAAAATAGTGACATGTAATATATAGGATAGTAAAAGCAACAACAAAGATCTCCAAATATTTGTTCTCTCAAGACAGGGAGGAAATAATGAATCTTAAAAGTATATTAAACAGTTTACAATCAAATGCATACTTCCCTTTTTCTCTTCACCCATCAGCTAAATTGATATGTACATTAATAACACATCAAACAAACATGTTCAAAATCAACATTAAATCACAAAATCAAATTTTAGCCAAATGACTTACACAGTTTAGTCATTATGACCTCATAATGACTGAGGTCAAGCCCTTCAGGGGAAAAATTGGGAACTATCACTTCAGTTATTTTTAATTGACTTTATTTTTAGAACTGTTTTGGCAAACAGCAAACTTGAGTGAAAGGTACAAAAATGTTCCAGAGGAACTCTGTTCCCACATATGCATAACATTCCACTTTCAAAATCCTACACTAGAGTAGTATATTTATTATAATCAATAAATCTGCATTGATACATCATTTTYACCTGAAGTCCATAGTTTACATTTGGGCTCATTCTTGATATTGCCCATTTTATGAGTTTTAACAAAAGCATAATGATATGTAATCACTGTTATATTATCACTATTATATTATCCACTGCCCTAAAAATCCTTGTGCTCCACTCCACTTATTCATCTCCCACTTCACTAATTTCTTTGCCTTTATCAAAATGTAGTATAAATATAGCCTTTCTGGCTTCTTTCTCTTAGTAATATGCACTTAAGTTTCCTTAAATCTTTTCAAGTCTCCATAGCTCATTTCCTTTAAGTATTAAATAATATTCCATTGTTTGTATGTACCACAGCTTCTTCATTCACCTACTAAAGAACATCTTGGTTGCTTCCAAGTTTGGGCAATTATGAATAAAGCTGCTATAAACATTGTGTGCATGTTTTTGTGTGGACATAAGTTTCCAATTCATTTGGGTAAATACCAAGGAGCGTGATTGCTGGACCGTATGGTAAGAGTATGTTTAGTTTGTAAGAAACTGCCAAACTGTCTTCCAAAGTGGCTGTACTATTTTTCATTCCCATCAGCAATGATTGAGAGTTACTCAATTCAACATGTTTTTTTTTTTARTTCTCAAAGTAACTCTATCACAAGCAGATTAAGAATGAAGGTTAGAATTCATACATTTTCTCATAGGCTTGAGATGAACCACAAGGAGTACAATGATTCTTAGCTAGGGGTCCAAAGACCACATTACTACAGTAATGAACACTAGAACTCCATACACTGAATGTTTACTCCTTGAAATAAGCAAATACAATAAGAAATTACTGTCAAAGCAATAGAAAATATTTTAAGTCCATGTGATTGATGCATTATTTTCTTGTAAGCACTATTATGTGGAAAACCAAATTATAATCAGAAGATAAATTGATGAACAGAGGATCAGAAAATGAAAAAGAGCCAAAAGAATGTTTAGCATACTAGATTACTACAGCTACAGTACCCATGAATCACAATTCTAGATATGCATAACCTTGCATATTCTCCCTTGTTGACTCTGGGCTTGGACGTTTGCCTTGTTTTCACCAATGGGACATCAAGAGACTTGACACTGGCCGAGGCTTGGATAAGTGCTTGCTTCCTAAGGCTTGATGTTTCAGAATGTTTCTGGCTTCATGTGAAAAGCACAAGATGACAGAGCCCATGGAAAGTGACCTGGCCATCTCAGTCATTGCAGCAGTCCCAGCTGAGGCCCCAGACATATAAGTAAAGCCATGTATAAAACACCCAGGCCCACCTCAAACACCTCCTATCTGCAGCCACATCAGTGAGCTCAGGTAAATCCAGCTGAAGACTGTCCAGTCAACCTACAGAACTTTGAGAAAAAATAAACCAGTATTGTTTTAAGATACTGTCTTGGGATGATTTGTGAGACAGCAATAAATAAAATGAAATCATGGCTATGGCAGAAGCAGCCTGTTGTAGAAGCCAGTTATCCTTTTAAAATGCAAGGCATAGCCAGGCACAGTGGTGCACACCTGTCATCCCAACTAAGGAGGCTGAAGCAAAAAGATCACAAGTTCAAGGTCATCCTAGGCATCTTAGTGAGATATTATCTCAGAAAAAATGTATAAGGATGTAGCTCAGTGGTAGAGTTCCCTGGGTTCGGTCCCCAGAATAATAAAAAAAAATAATAATCCAACATCTTTCCACAGCCTAAAAGATCCTGCTTATTCTGGCCCCTGGTTGCCTCTCCAATCTCCTTCCCTATCACTCTCTTTCTCACTCTTCTCCAGCCTTCTTGCAGTCCTTTGATCATGTTTTAGGGACTTGGGCAGATTGCTCTTCAAGAAAGGATTTACTGTSCACATACAGAAAGCATGTTTAACTTACAACTTCCAGTATCAGCTTAGTCAGAGTTCACTTCAGCCTACTTCAGCTGAAAGCATATGCCATTTGACCAGAGAAGTCCATGGTCAAATGACTGAGCAGAGTGGAAAATAAGGCCTAGTCATTTCCTCCACTCACTGCAGAGGTGCTGTAGTGGGCCTCAGGCTGTCAGCTATGGAACCCCTACAAGGCTGGCACAGACTTTGACAGGTCGACATGCAGTCTAGCAGCTCCTCCCTCCAATTGGATTTTCTTCCTTTTCTTCTRACTGAGTTTACTGCCCCCAAAATTTGCCTTTCTAATGGTCTCAATAACTGCTTTACAGAAAACACAAGATGTGACAGGGCCTTTGCACTTACTATTCCTTAGGACTGGCACTCTCTTCCGCTATATATTTGCATTCTTCTCACTTCATTTAAATTTCTGCTTGAATATCACACTGAGAGACCTTGCCAGATCATTCTACCTAAAACAGAACCCCTATGAATCTCTATTCCTGCTTTATTTTTCTTTATAATACTTATTACCTTACAGTATACTGTAGGCTTATTTATTAGTTTTACTACCATCTTTCTCACTAGAATACAATCTCAATAGGGCAGGACTTGTCAGTCTTGCATTCCCTGGTCTAGAACCATAGCTGTCACTTAGCAGGCACTCACTAGGAATTAAAGAATCTGTGAGGAAGTTAAAGCATGGAGGAAGGGAGGGATCCATATACTTGAACATGAAGGGGTGCTGTATTTTGTTGAATGCTTTTTCTGAATCTATTGAGATGATCATATGGTTATCTTATACTTGATAATTAGCATGCTAATAAAAGAGACCAGAATGCTCAAAATCAGGTAGCTCATTTTTGTGTCACATGACTAAACTAGTCAGGGTCACTCCAAGTGAATTTGGGGAAAAAATAAAGACAGACACAGAAAGTACCTTTTCTGTGGGTTCCCTGATAGCTCCTCAGCCACAGCTCCCACAAGGTGGGCAAGGCAGGCAAGAAAGAGAGTGAAGAGCATGTGCTGAACCCTTTTATTGGGGAGAAGCCATTCTAATAAGGAAAGGGGTCAAGTTTCAGGGGGTTGAGTCTAGCTTCCTGATGTCTTGCTGTCAGCAGGTTGAGTGACATCTAGGAAGGCCATATCCATCTCATATGCTGTGTATATGATCCCTATGTGGGATCATAGGCAGAGCAATCGAAAAGACTCATATGTCGCCAGCCCAAACACAGGGGCAACATTGGTTCAGTCCACCCTGTGTGCTCAATGCTCATAGTTCACACACACAGAGCCCATGTCTGACTTGCCACATCTCCACACTCTAGTCGCTCAAAGCTAAGGGGTGCTCGGTCCCAATGTGGCAGCTCCTGACAGCACATTTCCCCTCTCTCTTGTATAGGGCTTGAAAATGGTAGAATAAAGAAACAAGTAATCAAAGGCATTGTGAAACAGTTTTGCCAAAGAAGCCAATGGGAATTTGGGGGTGCAGGTAAGCTTAGCAGTTAGAACAGAAAGGAAAACTAAAAGAAAGGAAACTGGGCAACAAAAGAGAAAAATCACCAGGGAAAACTTCCATCAGCAAGATAACCAGCTGGGCACAGAGGTGCACACCTGTAATCCCAGTAATTTGGGAGGCTGAGACAGGAGGATTGTGAGTTCAAAGCCAGCCTCAGCAACTTAGTGAGGCCCTAAGCAACTTAGCAAGCATCCTATGTCAAAATGAAAAATAAAAGGTTCTGGGAATGAAACTCAGTGGTTGAGCACTGCTGGGTTCAATCCCCAGTACCAAAAAGAAAAGGAAAAAGAAAGATAACCAAATAGCTTTAAAAAATAACAAATACTCCAAGTTGTAAGTAGTATCTCTCCAAAATCATCAAACTGATTCTGTAAAGCTCAGCACAAACACAAGTGCTCTGTGTGAGTGGTTCTGGGGAAATCAAAGAAAAGAAGTTGAGTTTCACATCTGAATTGGTAGAGGAAAGAGGGACTAGAATAGCTATGATAGGTAGGAAATGAATGGGAACTCCCATTAAGTAACCCTTGTTCCCCATATGGGCTAATCATTCTATAAAGATACAATCAGGAAAGTTGCTATGATTTGAAGTGTTACTCAAAAGCTCATGTTCCAGATACTATAGCAATACATACATACTCATGTTTATAGCACATAATTCACAACAGTCAAACTATGGAACCAGCCTAGATGTCCATCAACAGGTGAATGGATAAAGAAAATATGGTATGTATGCATACACACACACACACACACACACACACTAGTTTCATTCAGCCATAGATAAGAATTAAATTATATCATTTGCAGGAAAATGGATGGAACTTGAGAACATTATGTTAAGTGAAATAAGTCAAACTCAGAAGAAGG